AAGGCAAACCCCCCCCCGGTAACCTGGTTGCCGAGTTCACGAAGTGAATTGGCTNAACGGGTGTATTCATAGTCGTGCATGCGGTAGTCGTTAGACCATTGACCTCGCATCCCTACAAAGCCGGGACGGAGCACGCCGGGTTCTCACCGGACCAGGCTCTTACATCACCAAGCGCGAAGCGCCGTAAGATATTCGGCGGGTCGCATGAAGGGTGCGCTGCATCCTGCTAAGGGTGTTCGGCATTTTGTGCTTACTTCCTTCCGTACGGATGACAGCTGCGAATGACTTAATTTGTTTCTGGTACTTTCACTTCCAGAGACAGTTGTAAGCGCTGTGTAACTGCCTCGAGGTGCTTGACCATTTTGACACAACGTGGTGCGATCATCCCTCTTGTGCGGAGTGAGGGTTCTCGACCCCGCACAACATGATCTACTCGACCACCATTATGGTTGCCGCCAAAAAAAAAACAGAGGTAAAAACAAAAACGGTAACCTGGATGCCGAGTTCACGAAGGGACTTGGCTTGTTTTACAACGTCGTTGCCAAGCGACAAAAACCCAATCCCGATGGCAAACACCGAGGGGGGGACTTGTTTTACAACGTCGTTGCCAAGCGACGAACACCCAACCCCGATGGCAAACACCGGGGCGGGCACAACGTGGTGGAGTAGGAAAAAATCTCACGCCCACCTTCGCGTTGTTGAGCGACTGTCGCCACTCCTTCTTCTTGGCCTGGAACGGCTTGCGGAACACCCACACCACCAGGGACACCGCCATGAACATCATGAGGATCAGAAAAACGCCTGCCAGGTCCACCAGTTTAAGGTTCTGGGACGTCGAGCTTGCGTTCTCGTAGTCCTCCAGGTAGGCGCACCGGGACGTGTCGAAGTACGGATCGGCAATTTCTGCCAGCGTCCCATCCTCTTCCAGCTCTAGCAAGGCCTGGAGGAGTTGGGGACAGCGGGTGGTCGAGGCGATACGTAGGCTGATGGAGGCAGGACAGGGGAAGGTGGTTGCTCCTTAGATGTGCCTTCACCACCTAACACGAACTCAAAACATGCAGACTACTCCTACCTTTGTCGTTGTAGTCAGATGTCACTGTCAAATTATCGATGGGTATGTCGAGCGTCAAAGGCATATATATGTTGATCGTTGGACAGGCGAACCTACTAAAAAATTGAAAATATGTCAGTAATGACTGGGCCCGCTAGATGGGCTGGTATCACCGGCTTTGAGATGTGCTAGACAGAGATCGATCGCCGCCGAGAGAAGGACGGGAATGTTGAGCCTCACGGGTATCTTCGTTGCGCTAGAAAGGCCAACTCACTATGTCCGCGCTGAAAGTAGGATTGGGTGAAAGAGTCGATACTGAATATTTCGGGCCCGCGGAGAGTGCTTGATCGTGCATTCCCTTGCCGAGAAAACCTGGCTATGCACCCCCCGTTGTGAATAGATGCTCCTTCCAGAGCGCCTTCATCAAAGACACGTCCCAGCGTACCGCCCACTAGTGAGTGATCACGTTCTCGACCGTCCGTCCCAGAGCGCACGTTATAGGTTTCGCTGTAAACACGGCACAGATATTGCTGGCGTGTTCGGCTCATTGCACGCGCATTCGAGCCGGTTTTCCGTGCGAACTGAGTGATTACATCTATAACCCTGACCCCAATCTCTACCCAAATTCCTGCCCATGGTCACAAAAATACAGGCACACTACACTCGTGAGTGTGAGCACTTTACGGGATGGCGTGGTGCAGCTCATGCCAAACCAATACCCTCCTTCTCATGGCGTACAGAATGGACGACAACCAAGAATTCTTGCGCAACCTTCGCTCCAAAGCTGATCAGTGAGGAGGACACCTCGAACGGAAATATGGTATTGCGGACGCAAGTTTTACATTTCGTGAATTCCGAACCACTCTTCCGCATGCGTGCCAAAGAAATGAAATATGTGGCGCGCGGAGGGCACCCATGTAAATGCATGCCGCGGCCGTTCGGCCATAGACCTCGTATCTTTACAGTGCCGGGACGGAGCGATATGCCGGGTTTTCGCCGACCCAGGCTTCGTTTCACCGGCATGAACGAGACGCTGGTCATCATGCTTTCATTGGCTGTGCCAATCCAGATATGATGCCATGGGTTGATTGGGCATCGTCGCTAACCAAACGTTTCACATTCGGCAGGCACGACTATCTTTCTTGAAGTACCGCAAGAGAATTCGATCTTGGCGTACTTACACACAACAGGCGCGACACACACTGCGACCACGTCGTTTCGTGTGTGATACACCTCGGAGAATGATCTGCATTGACTATAGACTATACTTCAGGTGGAGAACTTCCGTATTGGGTACTTCATAAGATTTGTAGATCTATGCTCAATTGTAGGGCTTTCATACTATTCGATGTCCCAAGTTTGTGCACCCTAGAACCGAAGTCTCCGCACACTCACGGGATACATTCCACATGAACAACGCCCATGCCCGAATGATATGAGGGGTGGTGAACGTCGTTGTGAACATCTATTGCTGGGTTTATGCAGGACATGTTTGTTTCTACATGGTGGCGCGTTCTGAGTTGCGCGGCAGGCGCTGTGTTCTCACTCACCAATTCAAACTCGCCGAGGTAGGGCGAGTCCTTCTCCAGAACCAATCCGACTTTCGGAGAGGGAGGCGTGTTGATGACGGTGACAAGTGAAACGGGTTACGGCAGTCCGGGAGGGGTGAGATGACTCCCCAACGTTTGTCACGGGGAAAGGCCACTTGGTAGCGGTGGCAGGTTCAACAGATAACGAAAGTCTGGATAGAGGGCGAAGTTTGCAAGCAACACGTTGTGTCTATGTCGGCCTGCCCCCAGAAATAACGCACACGACAAAAAGAACAGAAAACACACGTACGTTTTCGCTGATGCGGACACGCTGATCTACTCAGAGCTTTGAAAAAGTGCACTTCACAGAAAGAACGTACACGGCAGATAGAGAGCACTGGAAGAAATGTGTTCGGTGAATGCGGAGATCAATGTACGTACTTGTCTATACTACTGTTGGCATCGCCTGCCGGCATAGAGGCACCAACACACATCCTGGAACGCCGGCGACGTTACTCATTGGTCAACTCCGCTCACAGTGCCTTTTGTTGAAGGTGTCGGATAGGATGTCCAGGCCGCAGTATTCGTCGGCCACTCGGTACGCAGCCGTGATGGAGTCCACGAGGGTTACCTTGACGGTCTCGTTTTTTACCTGTCGTGCCGACGGACACCGGAAGCGGCATTCAACTTTCACCCTTCGGACTTTCTAACGAGAACGGACGAACACATACGTACAGCTTAAGCTGCGAGGATGGGCGGCAAACGAACGGCATCGCCACGTCAAAACTGAAGAATCGCGAAATGCCTCCGTGAATCGTATATTTCTCTCCCCTCTTCCGTGATATTTGTTCCAGCACGTATGACGGGGCATACCGTAGTCTGCGGCAACAATGCAACGAGCTGGATCTTAATGGCTACGAAACTATGCTAGGATTCCCTCCCCTTCTAGCTTGTCAGAAGCAGCTAAAAAATATATCGTTGGTCTGCACCTTGCCTTACTTCATGACAGCTGCGTGCCATTCGAAGGTGTATTGATACGCCTGTGACTTCCTCATTTTATCCCCAAACGGCAAGGCCCAAACTCTAGAGCACATACCTAAACTCTGGTTTGCGTTGATTACTCTCCTCGTTGCCGCACCAGACAGAAAAACGCTTCATTTTTCCACTCCTGAGCAAGACTCTCATAGGGCCACACTCCGCCGCTACCACGGTGGAACGGAATCAACTGCCAGAACACAAGTCTCTCACTTATTACATGCCACGCAAGCCATTTGAAATATGGTATTAGACGTGTTGGTCATACCCGATACCTGGCAAAACACAGTCACGCTTCAGCTACACAGTCAACAATATCCAGCAGCAGCAGCAACAGCATCAATGAGTAGCAGCGGCAGCAGGAGTTTCTTCGTCGGACGTCGATGCGGTCCCCTCTCACCAACTCAAAGCATTCCTCGATCGTGTAGCACGTGACCGGAAAGTTTTGGTCTTCGCCTGAAACCCGTGGGGAACGGGGGGGCGTGATTGGAGGCGCGCACTCGAGAAGACGTTGGAAGATCCAGATACAGTAGTCTTACCCCGACATGCATACCTTCTAAAGTTGTGAGGCAAGGATTCCCGATGCATGCGGCGAAGGATCGACTCGGAAGATACTAGTAGGTGATACGAGGACTCTGCAGTAACGCATGTACTAAGAAGACTGACGCGAATAAACCAGTTCAGTTAGCCTCCGCGAAATCAAAATCCTCGCGCGAAACGGAGCAAACTCCACCGCGTACGTGTACTGTACCTCCGTAGCATTCAGCTTCCCCGTAGCAACCCATGATCTCCTCCTCGTAGAACGCTTGCAGGGTGACCTCTTGCCGCACCGCTACCTGACATTTTTCACCAAATTCGGAAACTGTTCTCGAAACGTGTGTCACCCATCCTCCTCTGCCACACGTTGTTCGTCTTCGCAGCAGCGAAATTATCCAAACGAGTATAGGCCAGTCGGACCATCGTTTCCGTTTTTGAAAACGTCCGGTACGACCGTGGAAAGTGGCAGCGCTATACCAAAATCTTCAAGATTAAACGTCGCGGATATCCGCCCGTCACAGAGGGCGAAGGGGGCAATTCTATGGTGGCGTCGTTTTCGGCTGCTTGGCGGCTCACCTGAGTATGTGGCACTGCCCCATTCTTTAGATCGTCCACCCCGAAAGACTGGGTAGTTACGAACAGAAGAAAAGAACAGACAGATACACCGACAGACAGACCGACAGGCAGACAGGCAGACAGGCAGACAGGCAGACAGGCAGGCAGGCAGGCAGGCAGACAGACAGGCAGGCAGACAGACAGACAGACAGACAGACAGACAGACGGACAGAGAAATGCAACACGACCGCGCAGGGTTAATGTAAACTGGTGTTGTTTCATTATTTTTGCAAAAATTGAACGACAGCAAGACTACTGTAGGTGGCCTAAATTGTTAGAAGCAGCAAGGAAATAGTATCGCATGGATAAAGGGATGCCGTATTCAAGCAGAAAGTAACGCGTCGCATGTGAGAAAAAAGAGATTGTTTCTCGATGCACACTACGCATACACGATCTGAAGCACGGCGGCATGTAACTCGATGTACTGTGGAAAAGAGGGTTTCGTTCTCGACCGACGTTGGGGAGTTTCAACCTTTATGAAGGTGTTCTCCACATTACCCCCCCTTTTTCGAGGCTTCTTCTTGTTTGCTAGGCAAGAGAAGTCTTCTTGGGGTAACCGGAACCCGACCGGCTGGCGGCGAGTAGAACCACCTTTTTTCCAACAATCTTCTGTGCGTGTGTGCGGGTACACCACTTCCGCCACGCATTGCCAGAAGTTTCGAGTTCGATAGACAGTGCATCGTTTCTTGGCCCACCCACCGTTGTCCTTTTTCCGTACTCCGGAAGAAAATTAGGTAAGCAGCGGGTTTTGAACCCGTTTTGCAACCAAAAGAAGACACCTGACATCTCTTCGTCGACACCATTGTGGAAAAGAGGGTTTCGTCCTCGACCGACGTTGGGGAGTTTCAACCTTTATGAAGGTGTTCTCCACAGTACGATATCTAAAAAATGACGACATGAAGTGACATGCCCGCTGCCGCACCAGAGCCTCCTCCTTTTCTGCAGAAAGGAATGACGCCAGCTCGGCGGTGAAGGACGCCCCGAGGATAAAGCACGCGAACATCCATCCCGATGTCAGGATATAGCTCTCGACGGTGTAGGGCTCGTGGGCCATCTGCCCCATCAGCAGGGCCCCCGTCACGTACGACGACATCGCGATGCCCTGATTGGTTGGTCGCGAAGAACGTTAGATACATGGGGGGGGTGGGGTGTGCTCGTAGTCGTGCATGACGTAGTCGTTAGACCATTGACCTCGCATCCCTACAAAGCCGGGACGGAGCACGCCGGGGTTCTCACCGGACCAGGCTCTCACATCACCAAGCGCGAAGCGCCGTGAGGTATTCGGCGAGTCGCATGAAGGGTGAGCTGCATCCTGCTAAGGGNCAGCTGCGTATGATTTAATTTATTTTCTGGTGCTTTCACTTCCAGAGACAGTTGTAAGCACTGTGTAACTGCCTCGAGGATGCCTCACCATTTTGACACAACGTGGTGCGATCATCCCTCTTGCGCGGAGTGAGGCTCCTCGACCCCGCACAACATTATCCACTCAACCACCATTATGGTAACTGCCAAAAAAACGAGAGATAAAATAAAAAACGGTAACCTGGTTGCCGAGTTCACGATATGGGGGGCCTTGTTGTACAACGTCGTTGCCAAGCGACGAACACCCAACCCCGATGGCAA